GGGGCCAGGGAGCTGGCTCAGTGGAATAAGCGCTTCCCTGGCAAGTGCAAGGGCCTGAGTTCAATCCCTGGTTCCACAAAAACAAAAACAAAACAAAACAAGATGATCTGCCCACCTGAAGGAGGTGCGTAAGTTATTACTAGATGTGCATATCTAGAGAACAGAAACGAGGCCCACATTGCCAAGCAGCACTCTCTCAGCCAGGGCTTAGCCAACTGTGAGCACAGCTTCTTGAGCTGTTTCTGAAGCCACAAGGTTGCAGGGCCCTGGGTGCTCAGCCCAAAGGGGACACACAGAGCCCTGGGGGGAAAGCTGGTGAAATCAATGAGGAGAAGTGTTCTACCTAGTTTCTGCATTCCCCAAAGCAGCTCCTGGTTTCACCGGAAATTTAAATTCGAAGGGCCTGAGTTCAATACCCGGTTGGGGGTGGTGGGGGTGGGGGATTCAAAGCATCTCCCCTGATATCTCCATCAAACTCCTGCAGCCTAAAGCCACACAACCAAGAGGAGACAAAACAGGCAGGAGGGAGACCGGCAACCGGAGGGGCCTGTCCAGGACATAGCCCTTAGACCTAAGCTTCTCTTGGCTGAAAACACATGGCACAGAAGAGGTTCTCAAGAGTGAGGGTGGGTGGAAAGAGCTTTACTACTTGAACTCTCACATCTTGACTAAGAAAGCGAATATTGGCCAAGTAGTCACACAGGGAAACAGAACTGCAAACAAATCGGATCAGTCACCAGGGACACTTCAACTCCCAGCACTGTCAGCTGCGATCCACACTGCTGATTGCACAGTCAGGCTTTGCCGTGAATGGTGGAGGTTTCAGGCAAGACGGGCTCTCGCAGTTCCCAGGCCCACTGCGGGTGCCGCTCGGATGATCTCAGGGTTGTACAAGAAGCGTCGGTCATCAACCAGACAAATGCAAGTCAGCAGAGACCAAGGCGTCTGTCTGCTGTATGCCAGCCCGTAGGCGCTACAGCGCACCTGGGCTGGCTCTGAGTCCACACTTAGCTCTTTTCACACCTGCAAGCAGTTCTGTGCTCCTGCCATGACTTTTATAATCATCCAACAGTGGAAGCTGACACTGCTTGGTCCTGCAGTCACTTGGTAGAAAGTTTGGGGTTTGAACCTGTGTCAGGGCTATTTGAAGCCTATCATGAGGCTTTTCTACAATAAGAGCTGATATTTCTATGGACTCAATCTTCAGAGCATTTTCACCACATAACATTTGTCTTGATGTCACAGATATTTTATGAGGTATGCAAAATAGATACTACCTATCCCTCCCCTCCGAGAGGAAAGCATGGTTGGGACCGGAGGGGCTTTCCTAGGGTCGCACTGCAAGTTCCTGGGAGATTCCAATTCTCTGCTGACTTCAGATCCGGGACTTTATAATCTAAAATCTTTGTCCCTTGGTTGTTCCAGAAGGATGGGGCCTGGGCCTTCCAGACACCAGAATTTAGAGACACTGCAGCTCCTTGTATAAAACAACATTGTATTTCCGGATGCTCTTTGAACGTCTGCCCTTGTCCTTTAAACCATCTCTCATGCCTTACAAGGCTAGGCACTATGTAACTAGCTATAGAGTATGTTGTTTATGAAATAATGACAAGGAGAAAGTCTGTAGGGACAGTGCAGGGGGAATCTGCCTATGTATTTATTTTAATCCACAGCTGGATGGATCCACAGATATTGAACTTGTGGGTAAGTAAGAAGGCTGACTACACCTCGTGGTGGCATGTTATAGGTACAGCACACAGGGCACCATCACTAGCAAAGCGCCGGACACAGCCACTGTGTGGTTTGCAGCATCCGGGGCAAGCATGGGCATGGGCCCCTCAGCAGGGGTCAGGGCTTGAGGTGCTGTCTCAGAACAACAGGCCAAACGCTTAGGAGCCAGGATGATTCATGATTCTCTAAGTCCCAAGCCACACAGCGTGTGTGTGTGTGTGTGTGTGTGTGTGTGTGTGTGACACCTGGCTTTATCCAATTTTTTTTTTTTTTTTTTTTGCGTTTTTTTTTTGTTTTTTTTTTTTTTTTTTGCGGAACCGGGGACTTGCCAGGGAAGCACTTATTCCACTGAGCCATCTCCATGGCCCCTAAATCCTTAGGTTTAACATCTTCTGGTCACTGCCTTTTTTTGTTTTTGTTTTTGTTTTTTTGTTTGTTTGTTTTTTTCACAGAACCAGGGATTGAACTCAGACCCTTGTGCATGCCAGGGAAGTGCTTATTCCACTGAGCCATCTCCCCAGTCCCTCCTGGCTTTATCCAGAACCTGCTTTACTCCACTTAAGGTCCTTCTCCACAGCATCCCAGGCTTGGCCAGTCTCTCTAAGCCCATTTTGAGTTGGACCCTTTCCTCCCTATGCATGCAGATGCCACACAGAGCTGAGAAGTGGGCACTACTCACCCTGAAACACAAACAAGGAGTGGTGAACACATGCAGGAGGGATAGGTGCTGGGCACTGGCTGAGCTGTGTTCCTCTGCGTCACCCCTGAAGCAAGGAAAGTTTTACCTGGTAGTCAGAGGCTGCCAGGAGAGAGGCTGTAAAAATATATCCAATTGGACAGGAGCTCAGATAACCAGGGGAACCCAAACAATGACAGCAGTGTGGCTGTGGCCTGGGGCTGTCACACAGAAATAAGCAGAACCCACAGAGCTGCCGATGCCACTCCATATAGAGGGACTTAATGTGGAACTACAGAGATGCCACACAATGATAAGACAATGTATTACAAGGAATCAATATGCAGAAATATGGTACAAATATTAAAAACAATACTCACGCAGGGCCTCGATAATACATTAGTATACAACAGCAGTAGGCTGTAGCTTTTAATACTAGCAAGAACCGTAGTCAACAAGATTCCTCACACACATGCAGAAAAAGCCACTGTCTTTATTTCTCACCCATCTGGAAATGAACCTGAATATTTTCAACACCTAATACTGCAAACCAGCAAAAGTTTCTCTAATTAAAAAAAAAAATGGTAACATTTAATGAAAGATTTTTTTTTTTTAATTTAAAGGGAAAAAGTGGAAAAAAAAAAAAAGAGGTATAAGGGGTGAAGCCATGTTGGTATGCTGGGCTGTAAAGGGCTCAGGTCAACAACTTCTGACATTGCCAGTCCTGTGGATGACCCACTATTATTATGGACTACTGGACTGTATTGGAATATTTTGCTGAATTCACGCACCCACAATATTTAAATGACAATGGAATACCCTTCTCTGACAAAACTAAACAAAAAAAAAAAATGGGATACAAATGAAGGACCATTTTGTATCTGTATATACAAAATACCTAGAATAGATATACAGTTTTCTCTTAATTCAATGAAAAGAAAGGTTTGTACTAATAGTAATTGGACAGGATATCATGTTTGTATCTTGTACTATGAATAACCACTAAGAAGATAACAGTATTCAATGTATTAATTATTGAAACTCTCCTACTGGTCAGTTTTGAAATTGTCTCATTGCTATTTGTTTCTCAATAAAATTATTAAAATAAATAAATCATGAGGAACTTAAAAAAATAAATAAGATAAAGGGAAAAGTCAAAAATTCATAATGCAATAGAACACACAGCTCCTAAAGTTCATTCTCCATTTCTTTCCTCCTTGCCAATCCATGGAGTAAACAATCTTCAGAAATGAAAAGGCAGGAAACAGGAAGCTGATGCTTACTTTGCAGGAGAAGGAAAGATAATTTGTACACACAACAAGAAGTAGGAAACCATGCTGAACTACAATTCAGTACAGGAACCCAGACAGGGTGGGGCAATTCCAGAAACAGAAAAATGAGGACACTAAGCCCATCCTTAGGAAGCATCTAGTCCAGAAATTTGTCTCAAGATTTATATGCTTTCGTTATTCAAATTTATCCCACAGCATTCTACCATCACCCAGATATCTATACACTTTGCTTTCCTGTAAAAGCTATGTTCTTCTAACAACCAACCCTAACATCTCATACTTCTGCAGAAACGGCCCCTCAACAGAAAAAGGACAAAGCACCGGTACAGCATGGTTACAAGGTTATGCAAATGTGCACAGCCACCTAACAGAACCACAAGAAAGAACAACTTCAGAGCCAGGCATGGCCACACATGCCTGCCATCCCAGCTCTTGCAAGGCTGAGGCAGGAAGATCGTTGCGAGCTCTGATCAAAATGTGGGCCTCTTGACTCAGTGACTCAATGATTACGTTAAAATTAAAATTATGCACCCTCAGCAGCTGTCGAGCCTTATCAACTACAACTGGAGTTTTGGTTTGGTTTTCTGTCCCTGTCTTTGCCTCTCTGCCCATCTGTCTCTGCTTCTGCCTCTGCCTGTCTGCCTGTCTGCCCGTCTGCCTGTCTGTCTGCCTGTCTGCCTCTCTCTCTCCCCCCCATACCCTCTCTCTCCCCACACACACCCCTCTCTCTCTTTCTCCCCTTCTCCACAGAAACAGGGATAAAAGAGCTATGGAAGACTATTTAGGGCTACTGTACAAATCAAAGCAGAAGAGGGGCCCTGGATTAATATTCAGAAATAAAAGCCCACACGACAGCCAGGGGCCCTCTAACACCTGTAACTGGCCAGGGTTCCGTCCTTGTGGGTCCCCACCCTGAAGCCTCTCAGCCTCCCTCCTCATACGTCTCTCTCTTCATTCCACTTCAGCCCTTCTCTTCCCATCTACTTTCCTTCCTCCTGGAGGGCATCCTTTGAAGGTTCTTTAGTGACCAGTGGATAACAAAAATCTTCATCTTCCAATATGCAAAACCACGGATTTTTCCCCCTTCCTGAATGAGGAGTCCAGGCCTTCTTTCCAAGGGGGAGCAAGTTAACAATGTGGTTCTTGAGCTGAGGAGACTTTTGCTTCCAATGCACTTGAAAATGGATTACCAGAAAAAAGGAAGGCAGAAGGATGGGTTTTGCCAGAGCATGCTGCTGAAGATTTTTAAAAACACCCATTTTTAGTTGGCTCTATTATTCTTTTTAAACATATTTAAAGAAACTGTTTTCTATAAACCCTGCACCTATGATCAACTAGTCTTGGGGCAGGTTGCTGCCACCCTCGAGGTTAGGATAGAAGAAATAAATACAGGTAAAAAGGAGACGAGGAAATTCATAAATAAAAAATCATATACCTTTAGGTAGGCTGCGACTTCTGGCACCCAGCAAAGTCACCCACAGTGGCCCACGTCAGAATGTCCTCCATTGACGTGTAGGTGCCTCTCCTGCCAGACCCATGACACCCAAGCTCATCAGGGATGCTGCAGGCCATAAACCAACTGAAGTTTATAACAGTAAAGAGCAGGACTGTGGGCCTAACATAGAGGAGCAGACTAAGGAATTCCCTCAAAGAGTGTTTAATTAGAAAACAACAACAACAACAACAACAACAAAAAACTGGGCTTGTGTCTGTAAAAGGGACCAGCACCCACAAGGGTACAAGCAGCCTTTTCCTGGGGTTCCCACCCCCTCAGACAAAGCCTAAATGTCCCCATCTCCAGAAAACAATGTACCTCTCACTCAGGAGGCTCACACTCTCTTTCTTATGTGCTTTTAATTTTCTACCTCATAAATCCTTTCATTCTTTAACTGATACATCTTAAATACGTGATGAGCATGAACCTACAAACTTAACTCCGCAGGTAGGGTGGGTTGGGTTTCTCAACTGCACTTGGGGAGCCCCTACCCCAACCCTGCCAGCGCCCACTCACACTGCATCCTCCTCCCAGCTCCAAGTCCCCTGCTTTGGAGCACTGCCTTATCTTGAATAAAGGTCCTGGATTCTGTTTGTAAATTTTCATTCATTCTAGAAAAAGGCACTGGTGCTGAGGGAAGGCTTTGTATTATGCAAACACTGGTGCTGAGGAAAGTGGATCTATGCAAACTTAGCAGACAATCCACAAGCAGACCAAGGGCTTGCAGCCCACTGAGGCTAACTCTGGCTTCCTGAAAATGGCCTTAAAATCATTTATCTGCTAAGGCAATGTGTCTATACGGTAAGATCAAGCAACTCTGAAAGAGCTGTCCACCTTAGAAAACAACAGGAAAAGGAGGGAAGAAGGCCAGGCACCAGATGATCCCCTTGTAGCAACAGAAGAGACAGGAGACTCAGAGATGGCCGGGTGGCCTGCACCTGCGAACCGGAGAAATCTTGGGTTATCTGAGGAAAACAGCCATGAGGAGCAAAGCAGAGGACCAAGGGTCATTCCTCAGCCTTGAAAGTTTCCTCGGGACCTGTGGTGCCTCTGACTGCAAGTCAGTTTGAGGTTGCCGAGCCTATTATAATAAATCAAAAATGTAGATAGGAGGCTATCAGTTCTGATGCGGAAATGGTAAGGACTGTTCGTTAAGTTGTACGTTTACAGCTGGCTCATGGATTCCAGGTTCCTGTGTTCTGGACCTCAAATAGGGTCAAGACCTGAAAATAAAGATGTGGCCCACAGCTCCCTCGGATCAGACCAAGAGCTCCCAGGTTACCAGAGTCCCTCCAATACTTTAGCCTCACATGACCAAAGCCTCACCAAGACAGTCACCCCAGTTGCTGGTTTCCAGGGTGAGAAGCTGTGGCTACTCACCACAGCTGCCAGCACAGTGTCACTAGACCCTGCTCCTACCTGGAGCTGAAGCTGCAGCCTTGTACCCGGGCCCATCACATGTTGGCTCACATCAGAGGTGGCTCTGGGCTCCAAGCAGCCACTGAGACAGCAGAGCCCGCACAGGCGGCCAGCCTCTACCGAGACACCAAGCCAGTTGGACTGGTCCTGCCTCAGAGGGCGGGTGCTGGGCTGAGTCATGGCCGGGCAACACCCATGGGTGCTCCCAGGTGCACAGTCTCAGTCTCAGCAAGGATGCCTTGGGCTGCACAGGGCCTGTGGGGGCTGTCAGATGGGGCCTGACCTTGGAGGCGCAAACCCAGTCATGGGTGAGCAGACAGAGCAAAGTTTCTAGACCCAGGGGAGGGCAGGACCTGACCTACTAACAGAGCAGAGTCCACCAATGCAGCCCCCATCAGCCCACCCTCCTGCCCTGGTGATGCCCTGACCCTGGGTGCCATCTACTGATCCCCCAGTGCCTTCTGCAGCACCTCATGAAGTCAGGCCTCCTGAGACACCCACCCCTTGACCTGTCTCTTTACTTGGGCCTGGTTCCCTGTCTCAGGCTTCTCCCTCAGGCTCAGGCCTGGCCTGCTCCTCACATTGTGCCCTTCACACATGCTAGCCCCACCCTGCTTTGAGTCCCCTACTGAAGTGTTGCACCCAGCTGACTCACTCGTATCACTGGGGACCTCCTGTCTCATGGAGATCCCTCAACAACCTCAGGACATGCCACCTAAGCCTGGCTCCACCTTATGGATTAGGTTTCAACTTAGAAGAACTTTCCCCAAAGAGACTGTTGTATTCCCAGGCTAACCCTGTATCACCTTCTGTCACACCAAAAACTCAGCTTTGATGAGTCATGGTTATTTCTGACCAGTGGGGACAATTCATGCCCTCCATGATCCCCCAACTAAAGCAGGCATATGACTACTTCCATCTGCTGTAGGGCAAGAGAAGTTACAGGGAGGATGTTTTCCTAAAAAATTAAAGAACCACACTAGAAAAAGCCACCTTGTCCTCATTCCCATACCCTACCTATCCCTTTGTGGCTTTAGAAACTGAAAGGATGCAGTGGCTGCTGCTAGGGCAGCCACCTTGCAACTAGGAGGAATAGGCCCATGTGTTGAGGATGGGGGATGGAAAACCCTTGGTCCTGGAAAACATGA